ACTTACTTTGTTTAAACTTGAACTCCCTGTGTAAAAACTATATCAGCGTAATTTTCTAATCACTGTCTAGCAAGTTCGAAACTACCTGTCAACTGACATCATGTAAAATTTGCAAGTATGTTGAAACCTTTCTGTACATGAACTGAATAACAATTTATTTAGGCTGTGAGCAGCTGATGAAGAGCCAACGAAATAAATTACGGTACCATATTATTCTTTAAAAGCAGGTGCACTTGCTTTATCCAAATTCATAAAGAAGAATAAATACATAAAGCTTACAGACTGATGTTGACCACAGATTACTGCTTTTTGAGGTTGTTTGTCGACTTCGTATAGAATTAGAATGATAAAGTAACATTGGAAAAAGTAGTCCAATAGCTAGGAACTGCATATCTTGTAAATCAGTTTTCGGAACCTCTTTAGCCTCAGTTACCCTTAATTATGCAGTACCAGCAGGATTTCACGAATTGGCCACACAGGGATATGATTATTTGTAAGTAAGGTGAGGGAGTAACATATCTTAGAATTCAGAGATGATATCATTTCATTTCAGTAACTGAACGGTCATCTACATAGCTTCATGAGCCGAAGATCCTTGTTCGAGTGCTAGCTGTAGTTATTTGTTTAGTTGTATTCTAAAAACTGGTAGTCCCACACTTCAATGAACATTTTAAAACAGATAAGTTCATTCAAACCGTTAAAAGTGAACTTAGTTTGGATATATATAATTCATTCATTTGCTTATGTGAGAATAAATCGAAGTTTTAAAAACAAATGAACTAGAAATGTCACATTGAATTTCTAAAATAATTCATTTCAGGAAAACTTACGTATGTCACCAATTCGAAAATATCCACTAAAATTTACATGACCACTTATCGAAATCTGATAGAATAGTTCCACATGAAACTTTGAGTTCAGTGAAGGAATAACATGCAAAACCCATGTCTCTGTGGATCTCAAAGAAATCAAAGATATTAATATCAAGGACAAATCCATGGTATCTCTGGACATAACATCTTTATTCACAAATGTACCTTTAGTAGAAACAGTTAACTACATATGTGAACAAGTGTATGATCAGTCGATAAACATTGACATCCGTGCTGGAATCCTAAAAGAATTGTTAATAAGGTTTACCATGAATGCAAATTTCAAATTTGATGGCATACTTTACAGACAAGTGGAAGGGATGGTCATTGGCTCTGCATTGGATCCCATGCTGGCAGATTTCTTTCTAAGTAAACTAGAAGATGAACTACTGAACATCCTTATCAGAAAATTCTCATTTTATTGTCGGTGTATGGATGACACCTTCATCCTCTGAGATAATGATTCGGATAGGAGTAAATTAATTACTGAATCCAATGGAATACATTTAGCTATGAAATTCAGGTGCAAAGGGGAATCCCAAGGCAGAATTAATTGCCTTCCTGGATGTCCTCCTTACAAGAAAACCAGAAAGTAACATAAAAAGAAATTTGCATAGGAAAAGTACTTGGGCAGGACAATATACACATTTTCACAGCTTCTTCCCTATCAGGCGCAAAGGAAATTTAGTGAAGACCCCTAGCCACAGAGTTAGAGCAATATGCTCAGAAGAAGTAATTGAAGAGGAATTAAGCAATGTATATGATGCTTTGATTGAAAATAGCTATCCCGAAAAATTTATCAAGAAACACATGACAAAGACAACAGAAAAGGACTACTCATTATCTGTAAACAAAAAGCCAATTTACATAGATCGCAATTCAAGGGTGATATACCAAGTGAGATAATTACGAGAAAATTAAAAAAATCAGTTCAAAGATCTTTAAATGCTGGCGGATTACACGCATTATTCTCTACACGACCTATGAAGCTACCTCAACTGAAAGATGAAGTACCTAGACTAACCACTTCAAATGTATCTACCAATTCAGCTGCGCTTGGGGGGCGAGTTATATCTACCATTGCTCTAGAACTTGATTTTTCGTGCTCGCAAACATCTACCAGTATCGTGAAGTAAAGGTGTAGTAAAAACAATCAACAGTTCGATATTAGACCACCTGCTCCGAATCTGCCACAAAGCCAGCATTGACGAATGCTTCTCTATAATCTACTGGGTGCCTAATAAATAGCCAAAATCATCGTCGCACCGCATGCTCCAAACAGCAGAGGCTATTGCGATTCGCCTCAAACAATCAGTGCCCTGTGTTCAAAAAAAAGGAAGTCCAGCTCCTACTGCCGACCTGGCCTCCAGTAGAGATTATAAATTCATGAATTTGTACTATTATCTTTCCAAATTCGTTCTTGTGTAAACCATTCCCAACTTCTTCACAGAAATCAAATTCAAATGTCAAAGGTTCATTTGACAGAGGAAATCTAGTCTTTCAAATTACTCTCCAATCATGTCTCTGTCATGATTGCTCATCACATGATTCCACAAACTTATTCTTACTCTATTTTGTTATACACTGTGAACAGTGTTTATGTCTTAACGAAAATGACCTGGTACGTGATGGTGAAATGTGAATTATGAAGCATGCATGTGATATACTATGGTGTGTGTGTTTTTGAGTAGGTCAACAATTACAAATAATCTGTGAGTATATTCAGAATGGATTAATGTGAAGTTAATGTTGGCTGTATATGTGAAGCATCGGTGTATCATTCACATACTCCCATAATGAAAAAAATTGGTAATTTGAATGAAACAATAAATATATATGCATACATGTATATCATCACCATCATCGCCATCATCATAATTATCACACCATCATGTCTATTCAAACATTCAAGTCTCACCCATACATATATCGGTGGTGTGCAGTCAGTCTTCCTTCATACAAACCGAAACATTTTGTAGAACATCGATCTTGTCAAAATCTATCTTGTGTCGCGCTTCTATCGAATGTAATGCAATCTGTGATTTGTCTTCTGATCTCTTCAAAGCTGATGATGATTTCGGAACTATCTGTAGGCGTTGTTTGTTTGTGTTCTTTTACTCTTGCATTTATCTTCCTGAATGTTTCCTGTGGATATACAGCATCACAGCTGCCACATTTTGTCTTGTACACGCAGTTGTGTTGATCTTATTCTTCTATTGTATCCCCAGTGTTTTCCAGTGCGTTGCATGGGGTGTTCGTTCCGCGACACCACATTGTGATACCATGTTTGTTAAAGATTCTCATTGTTTCATCTTAGGTTTCCTTGTGAAAGGATTCGCCACAGTGTTAATCGGATTCTTAGCGGATTTTGATGCATCCTTAGCCTCCTTTTACATCTTATTTAGAAGTAGATTGATCCAATTCAATCCGTGCCCTAGTTTCTTTCTCCTCAGTTTTTATCATGAGTCTAGCTTTGTTAATGAGATTCCTAATAACAATTACTTTCGTGGTGATGTGATGTACGGAGATGTAATTGAGATAGCCGTCCAAACTGGTGAGCCATCTTGTGGTATTGTTTTCAGTTTCCTCGCTGGTCCTCCTTCAATCGAACAGTCTAGAAAAGTCAAATCATATGTACTGGGTTCTACGTTTTGAGAAATTTTAAGTTTATCGTGTGTGTTATTCATCAGTTGAGAAATATCATGTAAGACACTGTTTGGTGGTGACGGAGGTGACACCGATAATACCGACCACATTCTTTGAGAAAGAGAGCATCTCATAATTGCATTTGTTTTTGCTTATGTTCATTAATAGATTTACCAATAACGTAGATAACCGTGATCCTACAATAATAATTTCGTTTTAACCGGAGATATATATTCTCCACTTAAACAAAGTTGAATGTGTTCACATTCTTAGTGAGTTAATAATTTTAAGCGGATTCAGAGTGCATCGGACAGTCAGTTCGTTATCTGAATACGGTGAGACACAAATAATACTTGAAGCATCTCTTAGGAAAATTCATGAGAGTTGTGGGAACATCGTAACTCGATAATACACATTCTCCAATATAGGTTGAGTTTATTCTGTTCGGAATTTCATACAAATTCATTTCTCCATAATCCAGTTTCCTTTCCTTTTCCTTTCCAGTATTCGTGGAATGCATTGTGAAGTGTTTGCAGGTTGAGTAATCAGTAAAACTGAGTACTAGACACAATAAGACATGCGGTCAATGGATTTTTGGTGATCCGTAAAATCCACACACACTAGGAGGTGATATTCTTAGTCTCTCTTATATTAAGTGTAGCGTTCTACTTGTTTCATACTTCAATTAATTTCAAGTAGCTGTACACTTTGTCACGCTGACTCCCCCATGAGTCCCAGCGCTAAGTTATTCCGTAGCCTCTTGCTCTTATAATCTCTAGAATTTATAACAGGATTAATATTGGGGTTTGAGCTACTTTGAGTAGAGTGGAGTAGATCGATTGCGCTCCATTTACTTCGTTTCCTCAACATATGAATATCAAATACTCTGGTGAGAAAGATAATCACAAAAAGTTATAAATAGAAATTTATTCATGGAATCCTCATAATTGTATTACTAGTCAACTTGTTCAGTGTGTGGTTGGATGTCACTTGATGTAAGTTCATTATCGTTTCAGCGGTTTTGAAAGTCGAACGGAAATGATCCTCCATGCTGGCATATCTCCCCCATCCTATTCTGATACGCAGCAATTTGCATGTCAAACATCAAAATTAATGTACTGTATCTGTTTTTTATGATGATGAAATCCTAGTGTCACACAAATCGCCTTATCACACAGGATAGATGAAAAATCGTTGTCAATGTGTCGATCTATTATTTTTAGAGTAAATAGAGCATAGACTATTCAAAGGGCTGATTTAAAGAAGAGAAGTTCAGTGAGAAGCGCCCTACATATCGATTCAGTGAATTACACAGTAACCTCTCATCAGTAATCTCTTATCTCTCAGCTTCAGCGTCATCGATACAATTCAGAAAATCAAAACACCAGTGTATGATTGAAATGAATTTTTATTGAAAATGATCAATATACATAAAATGAGATGAAAATTTATCTTGAAATCAGCTTCTCTTCATTCATTTAATCATTCATTTGCAACTGCAACATGAACATCCACAAGTGCAGCCAGAACACTTACAAGAGCCAGCTGGACAATCACAACCTTTCCCTGATTTGCAACCATCACAGCATTTGCAGTCTGAACCACCACAGCCTAAAATGAAAAGCAGTTGTGGATTGATTAAAGTTGATGGAAAAGTTGTATTGTATTCATGAATGATGGAGGAATAGAATTAACTTTGGAAGAATGAAAGAAATCGAACAACTCACTCGGCATGATCTATGGAATTCAGTAGAAATTAGTTGAATGCATAAGGTCGAAAATTGTCTTCTTATATACATTTTTTATTTCAATGCTTGATATGTGAATTAAGCATAGATTTGTTAGCCAGTGAGAATTGAGCAATATTTCACATGTCACTTGTAATTGGCTGAGAGAGATGGACGATTTGCTTGTTTGTTTGGATGATAACAAGAAAGAGAGGAGGATGACTGGTGAGTTTTCTTGGAGAACTAACAGCTGATATGTTTCTGAGGTGCATATTGAATAGTGATGGAAAGTGGTAGTAGAAATGATGACTGTCTATAAAATCACACGTCAGTGTGGCTTAACTTAACGCTATCAAAATACCAACTTCAATGAAATGTCATATATTACACCGATTGACTCCTACTGGTTTTTGGATTCATCAGTCAGTAATATCTCCTCAACATGTTCTTTACAATGGCACATTTTTAGAATCTTTCGAACCTACAGCACTGAGTTGTCGTCACGGAGTGGAGAAAGAACATCACTGTGGTTAGCAGCTGTCGTTAAGTCGTACAAAATTCATCACAACTCTCCTCATTTGTGGGAGCACCAGCTGCGAATCTCTACCGAATAAAGTGGACTGTCTTCAGTATCTAGTGTATATTGAAATGCTGATGTTTTGACACTAGAAAATGGTTGGCTGAACGGTTATTGTGACGATGCTTTCACTCCATTAAACGGTTTGAAATGTATTTGAATAAGATAAAGGTAGTATGTGAAAATTGTTGGGGGAGAGACGGCCGTTTTCATTAGTCCTGAGTATTCTATTTCTAATCGTGGGTATTTTAATTTTTCCAATTAAGTTGAAATCGTATCACAGTCAGGAGTGGCGCGAGTCACTTGAGTGAATATGATTATACACATATAACATCTATCGACATAACCTCGGACTGCGATTTGTGAGATGTGTCCATTTCTGCAGATGAATTTACTGAGTAAGGTTCTCCTATTCTTGAAAATTCTTTGTCAATTGTCTGTGGAAATTTTGATCATCTCATTCATGGCTGTTTTATGGCACTTGTATATCATAATCTTGTCGAATTTACTACTGATCTAGACAACACTTGGTTTTCATGAGTTAACTTGATACATATGAAGGCTGTAGGACAGCAAACTTATTAATTTTTGAACATTGCACTATTTGTGTGTTACCGCATATCGTTGCTTCCAATATCACGTGTTCTCTAAAGTTCTGCTTGAATATTTGTTATCCTACTGAAACACCACATACAATATTTGACAGAACCTCCTCTGTGTAACTGAAAACGCTTCGAAAGGAGATTGTTAATTTGTATAAATCTCACGATAATGTTGGTATTACCAGAATGAATTCCTTGATGAAGTCTGAGATATAAAGGCTAGATGCAATATACGATGAAAAACTGTTATCCTGTGAAATCCCCTCTAAAATCTGGAAACTATTTAATGGAGTTACAAGCGAATACTGAATTTCTTTTTATGCCTTTCCTGATGTACAAGTCTTGAACCGATATTTTTTTATAGTGAGACAAATTTGTATTATTTTACTTGACCTAACCGGCTTTACATTTGTGCTGAAACTCCCAGTCTTGTACTTGATGTTCAGTGCAGGATCAATTTTGACCTAAAATATTTCTGCACTCTAAATCTTAATTCTTAATTTTCAGTTACACTTATCTGGAAAGTTCGAATATATCCTCCCAGAAATCAAAGTATGCTTCCCAACATTTTCAAAACACCTCGAGAAATTTTTAATATCTGTAAGTATGACTGACGAATTTTAAAGAGACGAGAATTCCAAAACAATACTGTTGAAATTGTGTGTACTAAATCTCCTCATTAAAATGCTATTTTAACATGAGTCCTAGTCGTTCTCTTTAATCCTCAATAATTTTATTTTTGAAGTGCTTTTCTCACCTTTCTGAAGTTTCAAAGTCACTTTACTCGATATCATGATATATGGATCCGAACACTGACAAAATATGTAACTAATACTCGTTTTGAGGTTTATTCATTCTTTGTCGCAAATGTTAGCAGAAAGAAGGTGTAAGTTATGTGATGGCTAGCAATGAAATTCCATCTCCAGTTTCCTTCTCAATTAAATGCATCATTACTAGCCTACGAAAACCAAATACTGTCAATTTTAACGTCTCGGAAAGATACAAGATGAAATAAAGCTAAATTTTAGCAATCTTAAGCGATCTTTCCTGTGACTAAATTTTATTGCCATCTGATAGGTCGTAAGTGTTTCCATCCTATCTGACTTGCTGAAACCAGGTTAAATTTGTTTTAGACAGCTTCCTACTTTTAGGAGTTACTTCCATGAATAAAAATAACGACTATCATTCCACATCTTCCCTATGAAGCATGAAAGAACGATCAGCCCACCTTAGTTACATTAATGAATTCGTCCATATATATCTGTATGTAAGCTTCTAGGTAAACGGTGAATAATTCCACGATAAGCTTAATTGAATTCCCTTACCGATGCCAAATTAGTCAGATACAACGGTGGCGTTTGTGATACATGATTCTGACGGAGTAGCGCTAAATTTCATTCACGAGTGACATCTTCATTGCCGAAAAAAGATGAGATGAGTGATGTAAAACTGGATTTTGAAGCACCTGTTTGAACTGACAGATGTTTTCTCTTCAAGTACAACTACAAATTCATCGGTGACCATTCGAATTTTGAGAGTATATAATGTGGAAATAATCCTGTAAATTAGAATGAGACTGAAATTGTAAGTATGAGTAGCTAGTAAGTGGTGAAATTTATGTATCATGAAGGCGAGGCCTTGTTGACCAACAATCATTATTAATCAATTAACATTTACTCCTCAAAATATATAAACAAACTGGATGATTCGTGAATATGTTTACCATTTTTGTATTGTATTGTCTTTGGTATGCTTCCCTAGTTACGCGATTTCTTCGTTGAAAGGAATTAGAGTAAATGTTAGTAAGAAGAGTATCAGAAATCCTTCTGGAACATTCATCACATCACACATCATCTGGAACAGGGCGAACATCAATAAGTAAGCCAACTAACCCAGTACATAAAACATTGGAAATCGATGAAACTGCTTGATTACTGTTTGCACATATTACTTGCAATCGTCGGTGTGACATACTTGCATAATAAAGGCACAGTTTACAGATTGATGTTGACAACAGGTTTTTGCTCTTTGAGGATGTGTGTTGACTTCGTATGGCGTAAGTATGATAAAGTGATGTTGGACGATGTAGTGTGCTGAGTGGAAACTTTATTGCTGTTAAATTCGTTTGTGATTTTGTTCTCAAGCTCCATTACGCTTGATACAAGAGTACTAGGAAGATTTTCAATCCTGTTTCTGATTAATTTTAAGCTAAACTACGGAGTGACATATGTTACAATTCATGGATGATTTTATTTCTCCTCAGTGACTATATGGTCAACGAACTAGCCTCGTGAACAGAGGACCCTGACTTCAGTATTTAGTGAATTCGTGTGTGTAGTTATTTCATCTGATCTAACAGCCACACTCTTTAATGAATACTTTGAAACATATAATTTTGTTCATTTGTTTATGTGGGATTAAATCTGAATTTTTTAAGAAACGAATTATAATTTCTGAATATAAGTTTTAAGGTAAATTTTAGTTGTAAGAATAATCTGTGCACACTGTCTGTTAAATATTTTAGTATTTTTTAATCTCTCTGGAAATTTTGTCCATATTTTACATTATTTGATTGACTTATGTACGGAATAAAGTATGGCAAGTGGAAACTTTCTTGAATTTATTATTTTTTTTCATTTGTTTGGGGCCTTATATATCTCTTCCTTTTCAGTGTCAAATGATTGGCAAATGGAATATATAGAAGTAATATTCCCAGGGAATTTTTTATGCACTATATTTAGTTTGATTTTGATACTGAGTACTTCAACAGCGGCTGCAATCAAAACATCAATCCACTAACAAAACAAATATCTATATAATTCCTATGTATCTGTGCATAGCTAGATAACTTGTACGTATGGCGATGTTTTTTGTCGTGTTGGTGTCAAGCAAAATCTGTCAGTACATATGCTCAAGTGAATCACTTCTTTGAGTGAAGAAGGGCATTCCTATTCGTTATGAAAAGGTGTTTTAAAAGCAGTGACTACAACTCTGTAAACAGGCTTTTTTTTTTTGTAGTGATTGTGAGTGAAAGTGACCACTTTTCAGAAATACTCTGTTCAGCTCTGGAGTTAGTGTCATTGAGAATGATTTATTTACTACAGGTGGCTTCTATCTTGCATACTCTTGAATTCAGTAGATAATTAAGCATGTACTGATGTAATCCTGATGGATATGCATGAATAAGTTTACTGATAGCGTTTTTATTTCGATGCTTCACTTAACCCGAATGGTGATGAAAATCCCACTGTTGTGTAAACCATGAATAAACATCTTTGAGCGACGAAAAAATTGTGAATCTTCTTTCATAAATAACTTTACCAGTGACATCAGAGAAGATTTCACATTCCATTATTGTCATACTGAGATCTTCAGATCCATTAAGATGTAAGTATTTGAAGTAATGGAACATTATAGTATGGAAACATTGAAAAGACGCTTGAATTTACTATCGGAAATTGTGTATAAAGTCGATCTATTTAGCTTGGTTAACATGGAACTGCCTTAAAGACCTATACATCTACATCCAAACTCTGTACTTACTTAACAGCTTTCATGCATATTGATTTTGTGAAGAAATAAAAATATGCTTAAATTTCATCTGCAATTAGTCTGCCGATACGGACGATGTTCATATTTTAAATTCAAATGAGCCTTAACGTTTGAAGAAATTTTATCCATACTCTTTTTAGGGAAATCTTATGCATTCTGTTATCACCACATGTGGATCGGTATAGCAAGTGACCAAATGTTCTAAAACTGACTCACAAGACCACTTTTTATCATTATAAAACGGAGATGGTATATCTTCGATGACCAGTGAAGAGATCAAAAGTCGAAAGCATAATCTGCAGCCAAAGAAAATTTGTTAAAAGTCTTGTTTAACATAGGCA